ACACTATTGTTAAAACATAATGTGTTAATGCTCTTACAGCGATGACACTAAAATGGAGCGGCGGTAACACAGTATTTAATTCTAACTTTACCCGTCAATTATGAAATAAAACTATATTACAACGGACAGTACAAACTGAACCGAATTTCTCAACATGACCTATATATATATTCACCCTGTAAATTGTTTACCGATTTGATTATGAAAGACTGTGTTTTTCGTTGTTGTAGTTTATGTTATTTTAGAATATTGTTAAAAATACCAAAAAAAACAACTTACCAGCCGTTTCCAAGAAGCAGTAAAAAAAATAATGATGTCACAAAATTACATTTTTTCCCCTTTAAGAGTTTCTAATTTTTTTTTTTTAGCTTTTATTTATGAATTTCAACGACGAAATCTTAATTCTGTTATTCGAAAACTATACTCTACCAAAACTGTAGGTAAAGTATACACTATAAAAACGTATACTTATATTCTGTATTCAATGTCTGAAACTTTATTATGAGTTTAGAATATTGCCATGCTCTGTTTAGCAAAATGTAAACAATATTATAATATTATTCGGTTTGGTGTAAAAAATTGATAATTGCATTGTGTCCAGAAATATTAACTGCAATAAACCGGCCAATGTGGAACTGCACTGTTTCCACAATTTATGATATAAACCATTTTGGAGTAGCAAACAAAAAAAAAACCATTACAAACATTTGAACTCGTATCGAACTTAGTGTTATTTATCCGCACAATATTGTATTGTTGTGTCAAGACGAGAGTTGTATCGACGGATTTATATTGTGGCGTTCTAACATAATACTTAACGACCCTATAACGCCAAGTACAAAAGCCATAACAGATATTAAACGTTTGGGAGTTCCGCGAAATTAGACTATAGCAAAGGAGCCTGGATGCGAATCCGTCGGCACTTGGTGTCTTATTGACATTATTAAACAGCGCCAGAGAGTTTCGCACAAGCGATGACAGTGATTTAATAATTTTCAAATATAGTCACAGCTTTGACCTCGTTTCCGCTAACTTCCCGCTACAAGACAGTTTACGCGTCGCGTTCGGTGCTTTTTTTTCTCAATAAAGTACAATAAACGCAATACTGACTTTAGCGCGGATCGTAAATTCGCAAAAATAGCGTTAAACTACAGTGTATAATACCTAAATAGATAGGTTACTGACCGTAGTTTTAAAACGGTTTGAACGACGAGGGCTTGTAGAGAAATCAGGATAGTAATTAGTAAAATTATGAAAAATATATCATACGAATTGGGGTTTTCAATCTCCAAAAGGTTCTGGGAAATTTACTGACTGTTACACGACGGCGATCAAGCTTTTGTTTTTTTTTTCGCCCCTTCGCACGACATGTCTGTGTCGTTTAACGGTAGTGTGTTCGTGGGAGTACAGAAAAAGTTTGTGCGGACAAAACGACAAACGATCAACGCGGTGTAGGTCGACCTATCGCTCGACAACAACCCACGACGGATCCGGCGTGCCCGTGCGAAGCAACCGAGTAAGTAAGTAAGTAAGTAAGTAAGTAAGTAAGTGCGGTGAACGCGATTCCGGCGGACGGTTTTCCCGCGGGACGAGTCCATCCTTCGACGGTTAGGTGATTTGGCAAACGGCCGAACGCAACACACCACACGGGGGGACGTCCGAATAATCCTGGCCCGGTCCACTGCGCTTATAAATCAAACGGCGAGACCGTAGCTTTCGATTCGGCCGCCAATTAATTGATACACGTATCACCGGTCGCCCGTCAATCTTCCTTTAGGCCCCAGGACTTCATCTATCGTCTTGCCGTCGGTTTTTGTTTTCCTCCGAGTCCGCGTGGCGGCTCCAAACCGTCTCCGGAGACTGTATATATATATATATATATATATATACTGTCGTCCCCCACGATAATATATTATATGCCGACGAGGGGCAAACATGAGAGGCGAACGAAAACAAAAGAATAATATCGAATACCTACGTCACGGATCACCGGGAACTGTATTGCGCAAACGCTTCGACGTGAAAGTGTTAATATATATATATATATATATAATAGTAAATCATCACATTGAATATGAGTCATAGTAACAAAAAGTCCGTATACAGATTTTATTATAACTGAAAGTGATAAAATCACTTTTAAATAAACCGCTTCGATGCGAATCCGCGGATAGTATGTTCAAACCAGTTATGGCGGTTTAGAAGATATCGCGGGACCAGCAACGATGTACTTGAAATTTAATATTTAGTCTCGTGCAGGGTGGATACGATAAGGGTTGATCGTCTGTCCATAAAAATGCACCGTCAATAGTTACCCATACATAGTAATTAACAATATAATAAAAATATTTCCATTATCTGTTCACTGTCGATTCACTCGCACGTAGCAACCTAGAAACTGACTACGGCCAAAGTGTAAATTTACTCTATTTTTGGGGTTTTTCCTTAATAAAAAAAAAAAATTGACTACATATAGATTAAGATAATTGTATATGTTATAGTTCCATTTTAGATCTACCTTCGGTGTAATTTTCAGGTCTAAATCTCTAAAACTTTGCTTGAAAAAGTGAAATAAAGAAAAAAATTCTATCTCTTCTAAGGGAAAGGGCTTATGGTATTTGATTGGTTTGTTAATGTTTATCGATAGTACTATGTTTGAAAAACAATTCATATAAATTTGGAACATTTTTAAAAAAGTTATAGAGCACCGTAAATTTTAAGTTGAAAAATTTGTACATTTTTTGGGTGTTTTCCTCGATTTTGATGGGCAAGGGGTGACTTTTTTAAATTTTTGGCCCAATAGAGTGCCTTCCAGGTATGATTTCTGATCTATAGATTTCCTACACAAAGAAATCGGTTCAGCGGTTTACGAGATATCGTGGGTCCAGACACAAAAAAAAATAAAAACACATCATTGTAAAAACAATACCTTCTCAGCTCCGCACCGAAGCTAAAAAACGGTTTACTACATATTGATACCGTTAAAATATTTTCAAGTGGATTTGATTAACTTTATAAAGAACCGCAAACAAATATTAATAGGAAATGGATAAGTAAATAGCAATTTCACAAGATCTATTGCGTTTGTTTTTAGTGTTTAACTGTACCCCACCCCCCCCCCCCCAAAGGTACTTTATTGGACCAAAAATTAAAAAACGCACCCCATCCCTTTCGAAAAGTAAAAAAAAAAACGACCCAAAGAGTAACTATTTCCACATTTTTCATCTTAAAACATTAGGCGTTCTTAGTTTGCGTGGGATATTCATTAGATTTAGTATTACTGATGTACGGTGTAAAGCCAAGATGATATCATTAACCCTTTTAATCAGAAGGGCCTTGCCTTTATTTCACTTTCTTTGTAATTGTTGTTTTAGGACTCACGGTCTGCTGATGTCAACTGATTTATTAACTTTTTGAACAAAAACCTAATTAGTTTCACGCGGGCGAGTGCTGACCTTTATTTTCATCTTTAGCCTTATGTTCGAAATAATATACACAATATTGTTATTGATAAAAATTATTATTATTATTGGCCCAAGTTCAATAGGCGCTGAGTGTATTCATATACAGTAAGAATGTGATTTATTGTCGGGGGGGGGGGGGTGGAGGTGAATCTAAGGATAAAGGCGGTTCCCGTGGTGCAATGGGATGAAAATCTTATTGATGTGCTCTGGAAATTGTGCAAAAATTGTACTCAAATAACAATTATATAACATTGGTGCTTTGGGCGCTCTAACGCCAGTATTTATTGCCAAAATTCAAAACGGCTTCCTTACAAAGTCCAAGTCGTAAAGAACAAGTAAAATTCAAAAATAAAAACCGAGTTTTATATACAAAGAAAATCATCTTTTTAAAAAATCTCAAGTATCTTACTACAGTTTTTATTTTTTTTTTTTTCACAAAAACAACTGTACCCTTCGTGGAAATTCGATATACTTGTAAATTGGGTCACGAGGATAATATGACCCAATTACACATAAACAACTTTGTGTACAAAGAAGTAAACGGTCGGCATGATTAATTGTTCGAATAAGGTTGTTTTTGTGTACTTCTAAATGATCTGTAGATCAAAAACTATTACATTGGTACAGCGACCGGCTGTAATCTTAAGTAAACGACATTTTTTTATTTTTTTTTAATTCTTATCACGGGAGTTTTCATTGCAACGAACGAGTTTAGCTGTGCACACCCGCTGAAGATATTGTGTGTTAAACACGGCGGATCGGGCACCGCAAAGTTTTCACACTCGACTTAAACTAATTTATTGTGTTTTGTTGGAACTCTTCGGCCAAGTTTTCGGCCAGAGTACCGCGACAGTACAAACACAAGAAGCGCGGTTGCTCGAAAAACGGCATAGCATGGACTTTGCAGCATGGACGTTGAATTTGATTTATGGAAATCCCCGTTTAATTCGCCTACCCCTCGGAGGGACATCAACAGAGCAGCTGTTGATTTGGAGACTCGCATAAAGAATAACAAGTCACTTGTAAATATTACGATGTGTCTAACTGAACGTGTCATTGCGTGATTATTAGCACCGGCGAGTTTATTGTACGGTGCTAATGATGAGTGGAAATCTACAGAGAAAGTACAAAATATTAAACAATAACAATAATACTCACCTGTTTTATCCGGGCCGCGACGTTTGTGACGGGTTTTGATGATAATTTTGATTTCGGTCACTTGTTCTGCATAATTCCAACGCCCTCTATAATTATCAGTTCGAGTGATTGATTAATGATGTATTTTTTGACTGTGCATAATTAACGTGCCTTTGATCACGACCGAGCGGATTATTATTGACCGTGTATTAACTGATAAAAAAAAAAATATATATATATCTCAACGGTTTTTCGTCCGAAATGATTTCAAAGGCGGGTAAAATCGTTACAAACACTAGTCGTTTTTATAATATTGCTGTAGGTGTATTTAAATAGGTACGTGTATATTTTCAATATGAATTTCATCATTTTTTTTTTTTTTTTTTGTTTTTTCCCCAGAGCAACGACGAATTGGAAACTGTATCGAATCGTTTTCAAGACACTCCGTTTCATTATCCAACAGCGCCGTCGGTCATTTCCGGCAATGCGTTCGGCACTCCGGCAAAACTGCAAAACTCCATCAACAAGCCGAATTTGATCCAGTCACACGTGAGCCGAATGCTAAACTATTTAAATCATTATAATAATGTTCATAAAAAAAAAAAAAAAGAATATCAAACCGTATTAGAACCACGACAACAGAATCCGGCCACGGTGGAGGTGGTGGAAAGGTCACGAGTCCTTAGGGATTGTTATTGTAACTGAAAGGGATGAAATAACATTCATAAAATACACTTCCTCGATGCGAAACTGCGAATGAAAACAACATTTTTTTAATTCAGAAAAACCCCAAAAAAACGCCGTAACGCTTACACGAAATTATTCCTTGTTGATATTTACTTGTTGTGTTTTTTTTTTTTTTTAATTTGTTTTTACTTCTATAAATGCATCGTTAACGCAACACTTTATTTTTCCAAAATAATAGAAATTGGCAGATTTTTTTTTTTTGCTTTTGATCTTAATCGACCGATCAAAATGTTCAGAGAGATTGTTCTCAAACTTGAATTATTCATAACACACTAACAATATAATTTTTAGCTAAGCTAAGGAACTCGAATTTTTATCAAACTACTTCTAATGAAGACATACCAAAGTTATGAAACATTTAAATGCAGATATTGTGTAATTAAATCACAATTACAATTGGTCTTAATAAACTCCCAATAAAATAGCTAAAATATATTTTTATTCAATTTTAAGTAGCTAGACTTTTGCCAATGATCATTTGTATAAATATTGCCCAGAGGTTTGGTAGCAAAAGTAGCTAGAAATACAGTTAAAATACTAACTTGTAAGAACTTAGATGTGTTACACCACTGTGCAAGATGAATTTTAGAAAACATTAAAGAAAGGTATAAATCAAATGTAGTTTGCGCGTTGCACAAATATTAGATTCGTAACTTGATTGGTAAAACTAAGCTCGGAACAGAAAACTTTTGGGATTTATGTATTGCGTTCTCTCTTCGTCTTCTTCTTATTTGTTGTGTTGTCCGTTGACAAGGTAATAATTCAAATTTCGTCTGACAGTTTATCGAATAAACAAAGTTTTCCTTTGAAAAAAAAAAAGAAAAAGGTAACGTTTCTCAAAATATAATATCTTTATTTATATTGTATATCGCTATGTTTCTATTGGGAATATAACTTCTACGAAAGAAATACTCTAAACTTGATAAGTAATGATTTTCCAAGGGAAAACGACCCATAATGAAATATTGTGTTCAATAAATCCAAAACGCTATTTTCATTCAAGGTAGACAACATAAATGCCAAACGATAAGCACAACTTGTCAGGTACTCAAAATACATTATCCTGCTGAAAAGTACTTGATATTTTGTAAACAGAACAAATTAAATCACTTTAATAGAAAATGTATACACTATAGAATCAATTGGATATGGTTGGAAATTATAAACTAAATGGTATTTATATATTATTATTTGCAATTGAAGTCGAATGAAGTATTACGAATAAAACATTTGTATAGTTAAGATATATACTTTATATATACTTTTTTTAATAATTCAGAAGCTTTTAAGTGCAATTTAAATTACTCAACACATTACCTACACTTCACTGCACTAGTGCAGCATCTACTCATTAAAATATTAAAATATTTAAATTAAGCGGTACTTAACCATTTGGTCAACACTCGATTATATTATTGTACAGACGAATGTTGCTGAAAATCACAAGAGGAGCCTCTGCGAATGTTGAATGATGAACGTATCCCGGATATTGGTGGATGTAATCAAACTTATAGTAAACAATTTTTAGAAAAAATATGATTAGGTATATAATATATATTGTGAGTGTGTGTCGGCTAGAAGTAAAGACTAAAATAAGAATTGGGCGCGTCGGATGTGCGAAGGTGCTTTTAGCATTCATAACGTTCAGTGTCGCCCTTCTAAAGCCTTTAGGGTATTTTTTTCCCCTCTTCAAAGTGGGTGAGGGCGGATTGTTATTGTCGCAATAATATCTTAAAGGCGATGGTCTCGTTCGCTATGCTGTCGCCACCACCGCCTCGGGGACGTTTTTCTCTCATAAAAAGTGTATATTAATATATATACACATATATTTATACTTTTATAGCCGCTTCCGAAATGGTGTTGAATTTTAAACGACTCGGTTTTCGATGGAAAAACTCAAAAAAAAAAAAAAAATTAAAATAATAAACAAAGAGCAATAACAATAGTAATAATTTGTAATCGCTGTTTGTTTTGTCCACCTAAAACGCAATGTTTTAAATTACATTAAAATAAAAAAAAAAAAATACAATCCTCATAATTAGTAAATTTTTTTTTTTTAATTTAGATAATATATATATTGCAGTCAGCTATAATTGTAACAAAACTAATTGAATAATCGTTGGCTGAAATAAAACAATACAGTTACCCCTTGGGTTTATTATACCTATGTGTTACTACCATATATGGTAGTAACAATAATTATTGAGTATATACTAATTTCCAATAACTGACTATATGAATAATACAATTTCCAAAAATTAATCTACATTCTATGGCACCTCTGTGAAAACATGACCAGTGAGTGTAATATAGATTAAATATGTATACATTTTTTTAATTCAACGAATAAATGTGATATTATATACTAGAACGAGATGATGGAAAACGTTTTAGTTTTAATAAAAAATGTTACTTTAGCTTAGGTATAAAGTAAAGAAGTACAGCTACCATCAAAGTTCTATGGAGATGGAACTTTTATCACACAACAAGTCTTATATTTCCTTAACTAACTTTTGTGTACAAACCATATTTGAAACAGCGTTAGGCGAATTTTATTAGAATAAATTAGGACGAATAAATTTTTAAAAAAAATTTAATTTTGTAATAACCAAAGAGAAAGCACATAATAAAATATTTTAGTTATTGATCAATATTAAAATATATTTCCTTTGCTCTCAAATAAATAATGATTTAAATTATTGTTGTTAAATTACTATAATATTATTTTAGTTACTTGATTGTTTATAAATGTAAGTGTATGACAGGAACGAGGACAATGAGATATTAAATCATTTTTTTACTGATTTTCATTTAATATACATAAAATTAATATAAATACTGAACGTGTAACGAACAATCATTTTTACTTTAAAAATGATTAAAAAAAACAATTACAATTTTGTTTAAATACTGTTACGATAGTTTAAACTATTTAAATACCGTTTTAAAAAAGTTAGAGCAACAAAATTCAATCTAATGAGGCCTAAAATTGTATATTATTTACTTTTCTGTGACATATATTTTATCTTCCTAAACTGGCTTTTTTAAAACAGTTTTTTTTACCGATTTTAAGCTTACAAAAATATGCAAAGTGACCACTATACGAATGGCTGTACAATATAGGATCGACATTTTACTAATTAGAACTAATTTTTATTACGAGCCCACAAATTTATATAACGTTAATTCACACATGAATCCCAAGTAGGTATATATTGTAATAGTAGTTATTTTTTTTTTTAACTCTTTATCGACCGGCTATTATAGTGGGTATTTGTGAATACTTATCAGAAGTAAGAATAATGTGTTTATGTGACCTCGTTTTATAAGACGGTGGGAAAAAATGCAAAGCGGAGGTTTTCATTGGAAATAATTATGTTAAATTTTGTCGGCAAGTAAAAGAAAATGCATTATAAAACGTAACGAGACGCTTTGTAGACTGGCATACACAACAAAAAAGATATTTTTAAAAGCATTCGCCGACGGTGTCTGGTCGAATTACGTATAATACATTATTTATATTATAATAAACGAGAATCCATTAGAAATTCTCGGTATCCATTCAATCTGTAAAAAAGTGTAAGCGTTAAAAAACTCGGACGGCCGCCAATGATTTTATAAAACGCACGTGATAAAAAAAAATAATAATAATAATACACATTTTTATTTTAAACGGCGTTTTGACAGTTTAAAAATTAAAAAATATCCCAAACTCATTAATTCGAAACGCTCCCCCCCCCCCAGTTACAACCATTATAAACGAATAGTTTACTTTAGTTTGTTAAAATTAAAAAAAAAAAACTATAGATAATTATTTTAAAAAAAAATGACTTACATAATATATTCAGTAGATTATTCTCTTAGTTCATCGTCCTCCTTCTTCCTAGTAATGAACATCTATATTAGTCTACGGCGTTCTGTTCGGTTCTCCTCGTCTTACTTATCTTAAAAAGTCCTTAACTTCTATTAGTGGTTCAGATGCACTAAAAAAAAAAAAAAAAAGGGTCTTAGAAACCTAGCCTGGTTACATCTTAAAAGTGTTCAATTTTTTTTTCTTGTTTGTAGATAGGAGATTTAACCTACTCAACAGTAGTAGGTATAATAAAAAATCCATATAATATACGGTTTCTATTTTATTTTAATAAACTCTGGTATTGACTGTAAATGCTAATGAACTACAAGGACATCACAACGATAGGGTTTTGCAACGAGTAACAACAATGACCAGACCTAACTTAGTTAACTCGGTTAAAAACTGTTTGAATTTGTGTGATTCAAACGCGTTCTCCTTTGCAATATTTTATTAAAGGAAAAGCTCGCTGTTGTTGAATATGAATATTGGTATTTGCATTTTTTTATTGGAAACACGCTAGTTCCATCTGCTTTTGATCCTATTTTTTTTCTTCTTGGAAATTTAACGCGAGGCGGACCGTGTGATTGATTTACGCAGTTTCATTTCCGAGTACAACGTGTTCAGCGCTTTTTGTTGGAGATGTCTTCACGTTTGAAATTCTATCATGTTTTCTTCCGTCAAAACCGGGAAAAAAAGTTTCCACATTAATAACCCTTAAACCTATCGGGGCGAAAAACCCCGATAGGTAATTTATATTATTTTTTACTTAAGAAAAACTTGTCGAGTCGCAACAATTCCTACTTAAATCCAACTCTTAAAACCGTAGATCGTGGCCAATGGCTTTTAGTTTTGAGTTCCGTTGGCGGATACATTTTCAGTCGGCCGATAAGAAACAAATGTCATTCGGAAAGAAATTTAATCGCTTTCAAAGTGTAGGTAAAACGGCAATGTTGATAGGCAATTTCGGTACACGAATGTATTGGAAATTTGTGATTGCGTTTTGTTTTAACAACATCTATAACGTGAGAATTAACGTTTAACCAGGAAATCATAATTGAGTAACAAAAAAAAAAAACCAATCTGTATTAGGACTTAGGGTCCAAAAGGGCCAATGTTGCCAATATTTCGTTAGACAAACGAGTCATAACAGTTAGAGAGTAAGAAGAGTCAAAGCAATAAGATACCGAGAGCCCAAAAAAGTATAATTAAAATAACTCTAAGAAAATCTAAAACATATCCTTGTATTCAAATACGCCAAGGTGATTTTAAGGTGTTGTATTTCACTTACAAATTAAATTTAATTAACTTCAATCTACTGTTAATTAAATACCGATTATTACTTTCCAATATTTTGTTAAATACAAACAACTTCTTAAAATATGGTTAAATTACAACTTAACGCACACACAGGTTTCTTTTTGGTGTTCATATGAATCTAATCTAATCCAACTTATTGTCTAATTTATAACTTTTAATAATTGCTATTTTTATTATTATTATTTTAAAACTTTGTAAATAGTACTCAACTTGCGCCGGTATAAGTTTTTCCTAAGTGGCGAAGTGGGTCATAATGTTGATTTTTATTTATTATGTACTATATTATTCAAAATGTTATTCTAAGATGGCCAATAAATTATTATTATTATTATTATTATTGTCGTTAGTTAAGAAACGTCACTGTTAGGATGACAAATTGAAAAAGTTTTAAAATGAGTTTTATAAAAAATAAAAAAAAATAGGGCAAACAATTTTTATGGAAAATAAAAATAAAATATATTTAATACACGCTTTAGTCCTTTGTGGAACATTATTTACAAATTTATTCATTTTCGCATTAAAAGTGTATAATATATACCTACATACATAAGTATATTGCATATATATATATAGGTGAGAAGGTGGTGAGGCGTTAAACGATAAATTCAAGCTGTTCACACATTTTGAATCAATTAGCAACGCGTCCTGTGACTATTAAGAGCTGCAATAACGCACGTTGCCAAATTGTCTTTAAAAATGGCTACATTAAATTGATTTTCTTTTTTTTTTTTTTTCAAATTTGGTAGGTATACAAAAGGTACTCGGTATATATTGCCACTTACTTAAGTACGTAAGGGGGGTCATATATATATATATATATATATATATATATATATATTATACTTACTACTACTTATACTTGATAGCGGAGCGACAGAATTTCATTTTCGTCGAAAGATTGGTATTTTTTGGCTTTTATAATAGAATCACGTTTTTCTAATTTGAGTAGAAGTAGAACGCATAAACTGTACGACGCGAAACGTCAAATAATGAACCTGATTTCCGAAAAGCACGAAGAGAAATGATATACATCACTATATATTGGACACTTCATAAAGATACCCAAACAAAAACACATTTGACCTGGAAAACGTTACACAAAGTAAATACACACAATGAAAGGATTCCCTTAGAGTTAAAACAAAAGATGAACACCTTCCAAAATGGTGTTTCTTAAAATATTAAACATCAATCGCCATTCTTATCACTATATCTTATCTCTTATCAGCTTGTCACGCCTTATCAATAAATTAACATCTCTTGTCTCCTCGTTTCCTAACTAATCTCCTTGATTTATTTTGTAACTGGGCTTAGGCAAAACAATGTCTAACAATTGAGGTGTTTTATATTGTTTACAATATTTGAAAAGATACACGAATAATTGTTTTGTGTTTATTTATATCTTCATATATTAAAAGACATATTATAACTACCTTGGGGATTTTTTTTTGTGTATTTTTAAAAATAAAAAAATGTCAATATCAGCGTCGAAGATAAATTTTAATATTCCAGTTATATTTATTGTATGATCGCACAAAGCACAATTAAATAATACAAACACCGGTTGACGTTTAGGCGGCGGTTTCCATTGTTTGGGTTTCTTTTATATTGCGAATATTGCCAATAGCATAAAGAATGTAGAAAATATATCGTTATATTATTATTATTGCCAAAAGACGCTGCTGTGTTTGTGAATTTGATTTGGGTAGTTTTGCAGAGTTGGAAAATATAAACGCCAAAACGGGTTCCGAGTAAAATTTTGTTCTTAAACTTTAGTTCGACGAAGAGTTTTGATTTTTCAATAGGGTGTATTTTCTTGTTATTTCAAACATACCTAATACTCTTTTGGAACAATACAGTTAAAGTGTAACCACCCGTCTATACCTATGTCTGCCATTTTGTGGTTGAATGTAAAAATATAAATATAATGATAGTCATTACTTTTGTGTATTGTTTTTCAGACCAACAAATGGGGAAGCTCGAGGAAAGTCCACGAAAGGTCCACCGGTCCAGACTGGTTCGAGACGAAAATGGCCGACGCCAAATTAGAAAAAAAGAAATCTTCAAAATGTTTTTGGAGTTCATCATTCGTAGTCGACCCGACCACGCATTTCCATTACAAGGTCAGTGACCGTCCGGTTATGTTCAAATAAACTATTATTAAACAGTCAGTATACTTACCAAAGACCCTGGAAAATTGTTTTCGTAACCTAAAAAAAAAATGGTTTGCAAGGCTCTATTAAAGGCTTTCACATAGGTATTACATATTATATTTTAACAGCTTGCGTACTAGTCCGCAACACCACGGGATACATTTTTATGTATCTAAGTTGGCTAGTAAACATATCAAGTTTCTGGCTTAATATTTTAATGTTTTCATAATATTTGGCCCAAAACAATTCATAGAGAATTTGGCCCTTTAAATTATTGAGTTTATTTTTCATTTCTATTTTGAACGTTGTAAATACAACATATATGCCCCCACCCCCATTCCCACTCCCAACCCCAACCTTCATCTTTTACCTCTTATCTCTATCCTCCTATCTCCTTCCCTTATCTCTTATCTCTCTTATCAGATGAATCATCCGTTATTTTTCGTTATGATAACTGGTGTCGGTGTCGATTTTTCCTGGTTGTGTTCCAAAGTAAAAACTATATCTCTAATCTCTTATCTCTTATCTCTCTTATCTTATCAGATAAATCAGGTGATTTGTTCGTTATGATAACAGGGGTCGGTTTGTTCGTTATGATAAGCGATGTCGATTTTTCCGTTTATGTACCAAAGCAAAGACATAAAAATGTCAAAAAAAAGGCTTTTAGGTCTAAATCAGTTTTTTGTGCCACCAAAAATGACTTAGAAATTAATAAAAAAAAAAATTAAATATAGTTTTCATAACATTGTAAATTATTCACTAGTAAAAAGGACAATAGGAATAATTCAAATAATAAAATAAATATTTTTAGTGATCACATCATTTGTCCGAATTAAAGTTTTAATTAAATAATATACCATACGTTACCATTTGGGTTTCAAAAATTGTATGATTATTAGAAAACAAGCATTTTAGTACAATTATATTATTATCAAATATGGTTGCTGCACAGAACAACCGTTTTGCTGCCAAAAAAAAATTTGGCACTATTGATCTCAAACGGATGTACCTACTGGTGGGTTTTTATAACTATAAAAAAAAAAAACAAAAATTATGCTGACTGATATTTATCTTTGTCTTATATCAGCAAAATAATAAAACACTTGTAACTGCGAAACTGACACTTTCTAATTTTCAAACGCTATCTCTTCTGTGTGTTGGTTTTAATTTTATAAACCATTTATCATCGAAACGGACCGTGAGAAATAAATAGTTCCGGAATTATTTCATTTCTAAAGTGTTTCGTTGGTATGCTTTTGGATTACTAAAAAAGATACTGCGGTTGTTTTTAATAATGAAAAAATGGTTTTTCGAGTCGACATGAAAGTTTAAATTAATAAACGTGACCGCGCTCAAAATAATGTAGTCCAACTATAGTAATATTTAACCTGAATAGAACAATACCAATAATAGCGTTAGCCTGTTAGCTATTTTGTAAACGAGCTTGATGACTAATGAATTTTTCGCACAAAGTAAAATGTTGTAATTTTAGTGGCAATTTAACAATTATATCTGTCTGTCTGTACACAATAAGGCTGTTTTCATATATTAACATCAGCGCCAGACGAATAGCTACAATAGGAAAAATTATACACGAACAATGTGAAATACAATGAAATGGAAAATTATACAATGATGTGCCCAAATGCGGTGTTTAAAATTTAAATTCTCGATAAAAAATACCGCAAAGTATTCCTTATAACCCGACCAGTCGGTTTTACATGCAAATTATAACAGAATAATGAAATTATCAGAGTTCATAATATTAAGTATCCGATTTCTGATCTATAAATTAAATATTATGTATAACAAATGTATAATCAACAAAATCATCCCCTGAAATGGTGGAAATCTATGAAAGCTACCAACCAGGAATTTTTACTAACCAGTTGGACGTCTAAGAAGTATTGATATCATTAGGCTAACATTAGATTTGTGAAAAATTAAATTTAATAACGATAAAATAATTGTTTTTTTTTTTTTTAATGAAGTGACAAGTGCTTTTAATACGATATAGTAATTGTCTAGCCTGAAACGTTGGCATTTAAAAATAAAAAAAATGATATTATTCGAATAAACCTATACCCAACTCTGAGTGTAACGCTAAGTATACTGCACTACACAAAGTTTGACCATCAAGGTATTAATTATGGAAAACTAAATATATATCATAGATGTAAGGACAAAATAAATTAAATCAAAATAATTTGGCGGTAAATATAAGAAAATCTAAATCATCACCGTTGTTAACATCTCGAAGTGAACATTTTGAATTTTGATTTCTTTTATTATCTGACTGATAAAGTGACTGATTTCAACTTGAGTCGGCTACACACTTCAACTGTCCGTCGATAATATCGTTACCATTAGGCAACATCGGCCATTGTTTGAGGCGCGTACCGTTTTCTCTTTTTTATTATATTATATAAAACGCGGTTAAAAAGTTATTTGATCACAATATGGAAAACCCACGAACGAGATTAAGTGCCTCGATTTTCGCTGTCAGAGTTAAATACAGATTTTACTTACCTACGCATTTAATATCGCACACATGTTCGGTGTATAACAAAGCTTTATCCCAAACACAGCGTTTACGGTTCATAACGCGGTAGTATATTATGCACATGAATTGTAGAACCGTAAAACGTCGAAATCCATAAAACGTTGATACTCGAATTTCGTTTTGCGAAAAACAATAATACAATGTTCAATTTTATAGCGAAAACAGTAATAGAATTTACTGATACGAGTAGTGTACAATATAATAATATATTAAAATATTATTACTATAGTAATAAAAAAAAAAAGGTCCTATCGATGAAAATATCTAAATTGCCCGTTGTCTCTTGCACGCATGGCATATTTGCACTGTCAACTCAATACATGGAACAGTGTAGCCAACGTTTAATTACATACTCGCCGTTTAATACTCGATAAGCGGTTTTCGATTCCAGTAAAAATTATTTCGGCTGATAAAATAATTTCATATAACAATCAAATACAAAACAAAGTATCCAGAGACATGTAATAAAATATATCGTTGCTATATAATTTAATATAGCATGAATTTACATCAGTTTTTATGCCGAGAATGGCGGCCACTTAAGACGAATTATTATCATTAATGATAACGTTATCATTCTCGAATGGAAAAAACTGATTCATACGGTCGTTTTGTACGAAATAATAACGGCAATAAAATTGTATTTGAATCATTCTTTTGTAATTGCAACCAGACAAGAAAATATTGGATCGAATTCCAAACCTTTGATTTTTTTTTTTTAATCAAATAACGGGTTAAAATCGATGATCTTATCATTAATTCCTTATCAGTTTACCCTTATCAGCCGTTCCTTATCAGTACTAAGAGTATAAGCGTCACGCGAATTACAGAATAAACTCGACCTAAAAGCACTTTCATATTAACAAATTAATTGTCTTAATTTGTTTACCTTTTAATTATAACATCTTTGCTTTAAGTCTTATCAAAGAAAACAAACAACATATAATTTCAGGAAATAAAATTCAAACAAAAAGACAATACTTTGTAAGTTGTTTTGAAATATTACTCTTGAAATGAAATTATTTGAACAGCTCATACTTAGTTGGGTAATTAAAATATAATAAATTAAAAAGTTGCAATTAACACAAATCGAATAAAAACTATTCGATATAAATATTACTTTATTTGGTAAACATTTATTTATGGTCGATTAAATTATTGCAACTAGTGGAATAAAAAAAAAAAAAATACATCAGCGTTATAATATGTAGTTCCGAGTTCAGATCTATTGAACCTCTACTCGACGACAAAATCCGGGTCTTGGTTCTTGGATCGGTTTTTCCTGGGGGATTGATTTTTCCGGGGGGATTGACTTTTCTTGGGGGATTGATTTTTCTTGGGGGTTGATCTGGCCGCAGATTTTGGGGTCGTGCCGGCGACTTGTCCGGCCGAATTGGTCGATGGGTTTTCATCATTCTTGTTATCATTCTTGTTATCATTCTTGTTATCATTCTTGTTATCTTTCTTGTTATCTTTATTGTTATCATTCTTGTTATCATTCTTGTTATCATTCTTGTTATCTTTCTTGTTATCTTTCTTGTTATCTTTCTTGTTATCTTTCTTGTCATCATTCTTGTTATCTTTCTTGTTACCTTTCTTGTTATCTTTCTCGTTATCTTTCTTGTTGACTTTTTCTTTGACGACTTTCACCAACCGACCTGCCTTGACTTTAAGCTGAGTTATGGCCGCCATGGGCAGCACTGGACCTCTGAGCACGTCCGTGACTTTTTCTTGGATTTCTTTCGCCTCCGGGACGGCCCCAATCAGCTGGTCCACGGTGCAGCAGTACACCTTGCCGGTCGCTATTTTATTGCCAACATTTTTCCAATGAATTTCGTCGCAGAACTCGTGACTGCCGCACGGCGGCTTGAGTTCATTAAACGGATCGTTGGTGCACAAAATCCCCACGCCTCGCTGGGTTTGTTCGTCGATCACCACCTTCCACAACCATTGGGGCACCGGGATTTTCTTGGGCTGATCTTGGGTCAAGAACAGCAATTGCCGTCCGACCACCATCTGGCCGTGTGTGCCGGTGTACACTGTCAACTTGGAACTCGTCTGAAACCGACAAAAGTATTTCGTTCGATTAAAATACCGCCGTCACACAATGTGTTTACCTGTCCGAAACAAAACAATGCGACACAGACTCTCAAACGCGAGTTCGGACGTACAAAATACAATACAAACATATTATCTAGTTAATGCGCACGTTTTTGGCGAGTCTTCTCACAGAATTCTCCACGTGTTTCCAAGCTTTTGAGTTTATGGATTGCCACTGTGGCGTGACGTTTGCATAGTAAAAACTTCCTTCTTTTTGCTCGGTCGTTACAAAATCGGCGTTGCTCGCCAAGTGTCCTCTGGCCAAGAAAGACGTCGAACTAATTCCGTTCGACATGTTATAGTTGTCTTCGAACAGTGCTTTTTGATGACCCTGCGAACAATACAACAATAGTTGTGTTCTCAACTAAAACATAATATATATATTTTTCTAAAACACACTATTATAGTCGGGTAGAAAAAGGAAAAAAAACATTTTTGGCGATTGGGTTTCGGACAAGGCAGACGAATAAAAAATAATTCCGACTATTATTGGTTTCATGATAAATTCCACTACTTACTATTTTACTTAAAAAATGTAACTCGGTAAAGAACATTGAAACGATACATAAGGTGTCGTGTGTTAAGTGGTTATGTATAAAAGTTCATTTGTAAATGCCATTTTTCAATAATAATAAATCCGCGCATTTATATTTTTACCCTCAAAATCGCCAACTAAATTTTAAAAAGTTTTCGGTTTTTTTTTAATTTTATTTTTGTACTATAATTGACATAAATATGTCTTATGGATCCCTCCTGGGCAGGGGAAGGGGTAGGATAGTGATAAGTGTGGACGAGGCGAAGATAATAGTTTTTGAGTAATTGATAAGAGATTATTTGTATAAGACGTAGAAAATCAGCTGATCTTAAGACACGTGTCCTGTTCCAATGTCTTGCCTTCAGATTATTATTTTTTTGTACTTACCTACTACAATTACTGTTTAAATCAATAAAAATACTACCGTCTAGTCTTATTTAACGATTTCAAAAAGTATCCTTTTTTTGAACACACCAATAGTATTGTCATAAATATTCGGAAAGTTAATTAATATATTAAAAAAAAGGTTTTTTTTTTCGTTTGCAAACAACTAAGCCTAAGTATTATTATAATATCAGTGTAACAAAAAAATATTATTTTCACGTACTGCTTTCAAACGCGGATTATAAATGTATAATTACTAATGTAAATTACTTTTGTTCACTTCACAAAATGTGTCACATGACGTAAAAAAAAATAACCCTGGTAGAAAGCTCAACTGTATGAAAAATTAAAAAAAAAGACACACAGAGAGTGGATACCTATAAAAAAAAAATGTGTGTTTTAGCTTTATCAAACCGGATTTTTTGTACCGAAAATAATATATCGCACAAGCTTTAAAAGCAAACATATGTTTGTTTTAAATGTACAATAGAAGAATGGAAAATAACTTAATCAATTTTACAGTTGAGCTGAAATAGCAAAGAGTAATAATTGCAGTGGATCTTTCTAGTGTCAATCTATACATTGAAACAATTTATTATGTCTTACCCGAGTAAAAGCGAGCTGTGTATTTAACAAAAACCAGCGAATTCCTTATTTTTCGTTGAAACTAAAATCTCATGCTCTTTTGCCTGGTGTCAATTTATCCCAAGAGTTTGCGATAAGTATAATATTATGAAGGAAGTGAAAAGGGCCGCCTGTGTTGCAGCGTGACCGCATAATGACGAGAAATTACACATTTTATTTGGTACAAGCAAAAAATAGAAAACATATTACGCTTATCAGCTGTTATAATATTATCAAATTAAATTTGAATTTATCTATTAATCTGTACGGCCGATGAGGATTACAACCGTGCAGTGTTTAACAACTTATAAAACAATATATATATATATATTTATTTTTATTCAAAGCGGTCACAGCTTGACAGCTCGACCTGTTGATTACTTCGTCGCTGAGTACATGCTGGGCATTTTGGGATGTTACTCCGCTCTGTACATTTTTACTCTATGATTTAGCCTCGGGAGACACGCGGGATTTGTGCGGCGAGGGTATGCTTTTATACCTATATATATATATATATATATACAATGTAACCCCCAACCTACCTTTGTGTAATAGCACGACAAGTGACCCGGAAACAACGTCCGGTTTTCGCCGACCATAAACTTGGTCGGCCTGTCGTCGGGCTTTTCGATTTTAGCCATGGCCGCACCGTCTACGACGAATTTCACATAAAACGTCTTGGCTTGCTGCGCATCGTAGCATATTTTCAAATCCACTTTGGAGTCCCGTTTGACGTACAAAAACTGCGATTTCTCTCCGACTTGCCGCAAACACGGTTTGTCCGTGACCTCTAGTTTGGCCTTGACGTTTGCGTTATCGAATTTTTTCGAATTGTTCACCCTTTCTGCAAAAAAAAAAAAAAAAAAAATTTGGTTTTATAACATATCGTTCGAACTCAGGCCGACAATTTTCCTAACGAGTCGCTGAGCACTGAAATTCAGTTTGATCCGGTACTCATCCACAATTGGTGTCAGCTTGTGGCCAACAAAAGAAACACGAATGTATTGTACGTATAATTTACTAACTAGTGCGAATAAACATGAAACGATAATCTTAAGAGATAACGCCCAGTGTGGATAGAGTTTAACGTAAAGTCCATACTTGTGAGCTGTGGGTGAACTTACACTCACATTGTAGTAACGAGCAGGGTCGTGGTCATTAGGTTACAACAAAACAAAACAATCTAAAATACTTTTTATTATATTTTTATCTTATTTGGAAAACGCTATTTAAAATTGCTTTTGTTACACTTGGAAAGCGACTAAGAAACACGGTAATTGGTAAACAAATATCGGTAGACATAAACATTAAAAATAAATATAATATCTCAAGTGCGCTTTACAGGCATGTCGTCGTTAAACATTTAATTTACAACCATATTGTTCAAGTAGATTCTTTATTGGATAGTTTTCACTTTTATCCGAGAAAATGCAAATATTTATAATACAAGAAATCATTACCGCACCACGGAAGTAATTGTTAAGTAGCGTTGAATGAGTGAGACGGCAGAGTAAAGACAGTAGATAAAGTAACAGTAATGAATACACAAGAGGAAAAACATCCGTCGGATGAGAACATTTTAAAATTAAACACACACCAATACATTGTGTGGCAATGAATGAAAGCGATACAGCCATATATAATCGATCAGTCATGTTTCGTTTAAAACTGATGACAACGTAATAATATATGTATATATTTATTAACATTCCACGCAAGTACCAGAGCTAGATTGAAATCTTATACTTACCGAACTCGCACAATGCAGCTGTGACTTCGGCGGCACAAAAAACATATTGTTCGACTATAGCAAACACAAGTGTGGTTGTACACAACGCTTTTAAAATCATAATTGTAAAAACCTAGGAAGTGTAATGTATTTAGACGAAAACCTCGCGCCTTAGACACTATCGACGATAAAGCCAATATTGTTGGACGCTTTCCAAGTTGCATATTATTCAACGTGTTCGGCGTGGTATTTATAGGTATGGGAAAATGTCAAACTCGCCCGAAATGAACGAAATGTAATTGCTATTGTTTGCCGATAACGTGTTGCAGCACTACAGACACGGACTAATTAAATAGACAAATAGATACAATTTATTGTCTATGGTATAGTTACTCGCGAAAAAAGGTGTGTGTAAAATATCGCTTGCTACAATATAGTAGCTGTAACTTTTTAAAGCTCTATATCACACATATAATAATATAAAGCCACTGTGTACACGATCACGTGCACGTTTAGACGTTTTTCGAGAAAAAAGCACGTTACATTGTTCAGTTCCATCAATAGCGATTGAGTATGGTTAAGATTAATTACCGTGTGGAGGATAAAAAAAATACAACAAACATAATATTATGTGATTTATATTATGAAATATGTTTTGCTATCGAGAAATTCCCAACGTGATTGAAATAGGCGTTTCCTATAGGTTATGTACCATTCGGAAATTTCTATCACACTTAAAATAGGAATTCATATGAGATACCTAGTGAAAAATTGTGTGGGATATTTTATTCAAGACGCCTCATGATGTCAATTTGAAATGATGTTATTTTTCGCTAAGGCGTTCTTAGCTTCGAAGCTCTGAAGCACTTTTTCTCGAGCCAACTAAAAAAGGGTTTTAGACGTTGGGTGAAATCGGCACTGCTGCGTGGGGATGAAAAACTTTACATACTCGGTCGATATGTCTACCCAAAATTAATTTACCCAATTCAAACCACTTCTGCTGATCACCTATCGCCAACTGAACAACCTGGAGACTTATAAAGAAGTTTAAAAAAAAAAAAAATTGTAATTTACCATATCACATTTTGATGAGTAATTTTTTTCGAAAGTGATTGATATGAATCCTTTATTGTAATTGAAGGAATAATAATAAGTACAAAATATGTATTATAAAAATGAATATTGGTAAAAAGTAATAAAACCAAATTATCCGACAAAATATTAATTGATCATCATTTTCTACTATTTTTTTATTTATTTGATTCCTAAACACTTATTTGAACGCAAAATAATATCAAAAACTGGTTTGCACTATATTATCTAATTTATGAGCGAAATGCAATATTTTTTAACCTTCCTGAGACGTTGCACGTTTTGTACCGGCTGTTACCAAACTTACTTACTTAAACTTGACAAAATAACGACATAGATTTAAACGGTTTCCTTTATATTTTTTTTTTCAATTTTAAATGTGTCACTACAAGTTTTTATACATATTTTTATAAAACGGTGGTATGTTTATCATTAGTTAATTTATTTGAGAATAATCTATTTAATATTTTGAGTAATCGAAGAGAAAATTTATGAAATAGTAATAACACTAACCAAAAAAATAAAAACAGAAAAATCTACAATTTTACCATAATGCTAAATAAAAAGAGCTATTACGATTAATCTACAGGTCATAATATTGTTATGTATTTTAATAAGAATTATCATTTGTGATGTAATATGAATATTTCATTAAAAAATAATGCAGGTATATTTTTTACTGAGTATTGTCAAAGGAAAATATTATGCGCGAAAAAGTATCGGTTAAAACGTTTCTTTTTTTTTTTTAACTTTATGGTATAAATTATAAATTATTAATGACGTCCTATAAGTGTAATTATTATAACACCAATGTTTAAATATTTTTTTTTATATATTGTAGTAATGACGGTTCATTGACATTTTTTTTTTTTTTTAAAAGGTGTTGCAAAAATTAATTGTTAGCATTAGATTTGCCAGGAACATTGTTTTACTGCTAATGTATTGTATTTTATATATGACATTATTGTTATTTAAAAAAATAGTAATAACTTTGAATAATGATTCAATGAAAGAAACAAAAAATAAAAATATGGCATTTGTACAAAATCTATGTGGCTGAATTGGATTGTGTGTTAATGATTGTACATTGTACGCGAAAATGTTGATTACGAATATGGTAACAAAAAAAAATTACAGCAGAGATAGTTTGGCTGGGTCTAGTTAGTTTTTACAGATATAATTTGCGACCCCTCCCAACTTTGTCCTAGAAAATTATTATATTAAACAATTTTTATGAAAAAAATATAATATACTCACAACACTTTAAATTGATTTAAAATATTTTAGCATATTGTTTTTACTTTTTGAGAAGAATTAAAAATGAAATTTTAAAAATGCTATTATCATTATTTATTCAATATTAGCAAATATTAATAATACAAATTGATTTAATATTAATGTTTTACTATTTATGTTGCCAATCTTTAAGTATGATAGTGTAAATTTTTGTACACATCAAATAAATAATAATTTCTAAACGTTTTCAAAAATATTGTAAAAAAAAAAGTTAAAATATGTGTATTAAATTAATTATTATTATTTATGTAAATCATCAGTATACTAAATATTTATAAAATAACGTTAAACAAAATGATGTTTATTTATAATTAAAGTATAGAAAAAACTATAATTATGTTTAAAATATATTAAGTAAAACGTTGGGGACATTTTCTAACATGCTTAATATGTTTATAATGGAATCAGCACACTTTAATAAAAAAAAACACTTTTAATATATGTCTATATAGTTTTTTATTCAATTTTTTCTTTTGGTAAATAAAATGACTGTATTATATTTAATACAATTATGATACTACTTCACTTTTTACCAATTACTTAGTCAATGAGTTTTAATAATTACATTATAGTTTATCCTTTGTACTTATAGTATAATATTAAAAATTAATAATATACGGTCATAATCATATTTTTTATAATTATTTTACTTAAAAACAATTGGTGTAGATTCGGGGGGGGGGGGAGACTTTTAATTTTAAAGGTTTTCAGTATTCCAAGCCCCACCCTCCACAAAAAATAATCTTCACCCATGACCAAAACTATCTCAAACAGAAAGGTTTCCCATTGTATGATATAATACTAAATAGTGTTTATAAGCCGAAATCAATTTCATAAACAACATATGTTCAATATTTTAGATTCCAACACTGTTAATAGGAAATATACTTGAATTATTATAAATAAATTATTTTCCTAAAAATATGACAACCCATTTACCTACAAGATGAAACGCTTCAGATGCAGTTTCAGGACTTAAAGTCTAATGCCTACAATGGTAGTGAACATATTATAGTATAGTATAATACAAATGACAATAATAAAAACTTAATAACATAATACCATTTTCTGCATGGGATATATTACGTACCGTTTAAAAATGTTATGCCGACTAAGCTTTTTATAGACAAGCTCACTAGAGCTGTCTGCAAAATACAGTTCATTTTGATATGATACGTTTTCAATTTCCTTTAACAAGATCATCTATTAACAACGTATAGAGGTTTTTTATTTTAATGTTTTACTCTTCGTACGTTGCTGTTTGTTTCATATATTTTATTGCATACCTAGTAAAAAACGTCGTTGCAAACGGCTTGTGCAAAGATATAAAAATTGATCCGTTCGTATCAAAAAAAAAAAAAAAAGTCCTTGTAAAACAGCGTTCAACCAACAGTTTAGTGTGCTCGACTAAAAAAAAAAAAAACCACACGACCGCATGATTATAAATGCATTGTAAAGAGTGTACTTAGGGTTTTTTTACTTTTTATTATTATTCGACGCTGTCTGTTGTAATAGTGAAATGGGGGTTTATATTTTTATGGTATCTTTTTCTCGCTTATGTCGGTTTTATTATTGAGGCCACTTGGGTAAAAGCGTTTAAACAATATGTTCTACTATATTATGCTGTTCTTGTAGAGCGTGTCTAGGATTAGTTTTCATGAGATATTTAGATTCTACGTTTTTGAACGTGCAATGGCGTCACCTGCCATTACTCACAGTGGTCAGGCCCAACACAAGAAATGTTCTAACTCTACCTGTAGATTTTAATTTATACACAGTGACCCGGAAATAAGAAGGAAAACGAAATGATTGAAAAAGTAATTGTAAATAGACCGACTTTGAAGATTTGATATAAATTGCTAAATTTCTCAAAGAGGGAAAGAGACTCTTATGGCTAATAAAAAAAATGTAATATTATTTAAAAATTAGCTAAATTACCCATTACTAATTTATCATAAAATTAGTGATTATCTTATGTATGTAGTAACTGATAATAATCCAGTCAACTCCTTAACTTATAAAAAACAATTATAATATTAACAAAATAGCGAAAAAATGTAAATATTTTTTAGATAATTTTGAAATATAATCTGTGTAAAGTTGCCCATTTCATTTATATAGTATTTTTTTTTTTAAGATGATATTGTACACGGTAATTTATTAATTTCGCTGAGAGATATCCGACGACGTATTTTACTCTCTTGTTTAATTTAACTTTTAACATACATACTTTTTATATGATTTGTCACTATAATTTGTCAATTAAAAAACACTAAAGCAAAAAAAAAAAAACGATATATTATATTCTATCATAATAATGTATTATTATCAAATTTATTTTTTGCGGGGCTGCATGCCAATTTGCTTCCACCGCGCGGCGTAGGAAAATATACAATATGGTCGAGTGAGAATATATAGCGTTATACTTTGAAGTCGGACATAATATTTTTCATCAACGAGAAGCCGAGAAGATATTGGTTTTTTTTTTTGATAATACATAAATAACAAAATGAGAACCGAAATATTATATAGTTTCGCGGCATGCGATTGAACGACAAACAGTTGTGTATACATGTATAATCAATATAGTGATTTATTCCCCGCCTGTAATATTTGTTTTTTTTTTTTTTTTATAACTCTTTGCCAGATCCGGTAATGCCTTTGGAAGTTCCCGTTGGAAATGTTGGCGTTTTTTCATACCTTTTTCCCGCGGTCTGTGTCGGATTTGTAAGGTTTTATTATCTTTATTTATTTGTTGTTGTTGTTTTTTTACACAACACACGTCGCGCAACTTTGATATTACCGCGTGTCTTATCGCCCTCTGCCAGGACTATATAAACTCGTTCTTACTGTTGCTGGATCGTTTATATCAGCAACGTTTATCGCCGTTGTTTTTCTCTACAGTCAAACCGTTTACATGTCTACACAACTCACATACCCGAACAGCCGTTGCAAATTCCGCTTTTCCGCCATCGCCAAATCAATTTTCCACAAGAATTGTTCACCGTCGCAATAATATATAAGATATAATAAAAATGCGCACGTCGCCTGAGTATTTTTTTTTTTTTTAATTTAATTTCCAATAACCCTGTACGCGATTTGTTTGTGTATATAATATTAATATAACAGCGATACTTATTCGTCGACGGCAGTTCACTTTTTCCGAATAGAGTTGCTTTGCTTCCGACTCGAACACTATACAGTATACACGGCGATCTGTTTACCATTTAAGACAATCACTTTGTTGGAAAACATTTACAATTTTGTAGTTTTTTTTTTTAAACATTTTGTACATTATGTTATTTTACAATAAACGAATTTCAAAGGTACGACAGTGCTCTGGAAAATACCAAAAAATTGTTAATATCTAGTGTTTTCAAAAATGTTGTTTCAAAAAGAAAAACTCAAAAATCTATAAAAAAAAAGTGTCTTATGGAATTGATATGTTAATTGTAAAGCCAACGTATTTTGTTAACATTCAGACCAACATAATATAGGTTATAATATAATAGACAAATTGTAAAATAAACAAATTACATTTTGCCAACGTAATTGTACGACTCATATTCATGTCCGCCAACCTAATGCAATTTAAAAATAACCAACACAATGGAGTTGGAGCCTATTGAGGTTTACCTCGGCAGGAATTATGATTATTTTATACTTAAATGTTTTAAAAATGTGGTAACGTGTGTGTTTCGTAAACTTATTTAAGTTGATAACTACTCATAACTCACATAGGTACCTAATTATGTAAAAGATATGTGTATATTTTTCTTGATTTTAATAGGGTTTGACTTTATCGACATTTAGTCTTTATAAATACCCCTATCAAAAAAAAAAAAAAAATGAATACAACTTTAAAATCCGTGAAATGTTTAAAAATAACGCTTTTGCGCGGGCTTTATTTGGCTTCCCGGCTGATATAATACAACAGAATTAACTAATACATTATAACTTAGTAATCTATGTAGGCGATCACCTACATCTGTGTGTGTGTGTGTGATTTATTAGGCTACTACGACTATTGGAACTATGTAATTGTGACAGAAACATTGTAATGGGCGAGCAGCAGGGCCAACATATTTTTCGACCACAAAACCCTGAGCTACAGATGTGACCCACCCTCCTTAGCCTCCCCTATAGTCCATAAGTGAATACGGTCCAGTGGCAAAAAATAAACGTTTAATAATTACAACCGTTTGCTGTTTCAGTGGCTCATGTTGGTCACCGTTACCATTCTGTACAATTTGGTGTTCGTGATCGGTCGAGGCGTTTTTTGGGAGCTGAACAACGCGATGCCGACCATCTGGTGGATACTGGACTACGCTTCGGACGGCATCTATGTGGTGGATACCCTAGTCCATGCTCACGAAGGTAAGCAGTCACAAAAATGTCATGTTATTATGTGTATCTGTTGTAATACTATACACTACAGTATGTAGTATAGAGTAAAACGAGCGGAATTTGGTATTAGAATAAATAGCACAACACGATTAAATTAAGTGATTACCACGCACCACTATTGATAAACACATATAGTAATTGCAATAATAGATTATATTATTACATAGAATATAATAAACAGTGAAACAATAAAAAAAAACTAGTATTATGTACATATAAACTGAACAGATAGACTGAGCAAAATTTTGAAAAACAAAATCGAAAAACCTAAATAATCTTCGCTCCGCGGTAAAACATTATATCATACGTCTTATCACTTATATATATTATCAATTTCCTCTTATCATGTATATCTTATCACTTGTCTCTTATCTCCTATCTGTAATCACTTATCTCTAACTGAAAGTGAAGGCGTAACGCGAAAATGGCGACATCAAATTTCTTGTATCCAGCCCAATAACATATCCATGTTAAAAGTACAGACAACACATAGCAGTGACCAATTACATCCTTAATGAGGCGCGTGGGGTAACATTTCCCTACATGTGGGGTGATTTTACCTTTGGATTCGACACTTTTTAATCAATGTATTTTATTATTTTCAGCGTTATAAAACATAAAAGGATAATGATCTGTTCCTTGTGAGGCATTTATTATTTCAGTTTTTTTTTTTGTTATAGCGGTTCAATTTAATGGGAACATTTTTTTAGCATGGAACATGCTTTAGCCTGGCCCCCAGCTGGAAAACGACACTAAATTGCGATACTAAAGTAGCGCGCCTAATTTAACGTATAATAACATAAAAGATGTCATCGAAATAATAATGAGTCGTCGTCGTCTTCGTCATGCATAACGTGTTTGGCCAGAACATACAATTAAGACTATATTATTATCACAAATCGCAAGGAGATTATAGATCTGCAATAATCACTATTCAGGAGCCAGCAGGCTAAAGCATGTTCCATGTTTTATAATTTTAGCCGTTAGGCTTAAGTAAACTGTAACTTTTTTCGTTTGAAATATCGAATTTTTAGGAGTTTTTCCAACTTGTACGTTGTTTTTAAAGACCTCGATTTGCTAGAGCAATTTTCAAGGCAGATTTGGGTCTCTCGTGGAAAAATCTATCGGATGGTTGTGGTTTCATATTTTGGGCAAAACTCACCAGAATTTTAGAGAACGATAAATAGAAAACGAGAATTATGTTAACGCTATTATAATAGCTTTTCGAGTATTTTGGCATGTTCAGGGATTTTAATTAAACTCCAGAGAGGTCGAAAACGTGGTGAATCGCTGTAACTACTTGAAACTAAATACTCATTTGGGCACTGTTGAATTTTAATGCGCAACTGAGAAAGTACCAGTAATACAAATTTGTGAACTATTATTAACATTAATTCACCAATTTCGCCCTACTATGGTATTATAATAGTTATTCCGATTATTATAAAAAAATATGTCACGATAGTGTTTTTCGATAGGAAATTAAATTATTTAATAGGTTCAAATGAAACAAATATTCGTTCAAAAATGGTTTGTTGTTTTCCAATAAACAAAACAGCCAGTACAACGTGGTTGGGGGCACAAAGCATATTGGGGTCGGAAAGATCACAGGTGTTCATATAGGAGTTATTATAGCTGAAAATGATAAATTAATGCCTCGCTTCGATGCGATTATCTAAACGGTAAAAGTAAAAAAATCTATTAAAGCATAGCAAAAGCTTTACAATGTGTTAAAAATTGTATTTTTAGTATCAGGGTGGATAGGTACGATTAGTGATGACCGATTATCTATAGCAATTTACTGTCATTATTACCTATAATATCGTATTCAACAATATAATGAAATATATTATATTTATTAAAACTGTCGAATCACTCACCTGTGGCAACTATTATACATTGACTACGGTCAGAGTGCAGTTATCTTCTTTTTTTTTTTTATTGTTCTTCTAAAGATCTTTGAGAAAATTGTTCATGCACTTGTGTTATACTTATTGAACAGACACTTTAGATGATTATAGGTATAGAAGTTAAACGAGCTAGAACAGTCGTACAGTCGTGTTTGCGTCGTTTCTTTGTACCTATATTTATTTGAGAACCTTTTTCAGCTGGTCCAAACGTCGAGGGGTTAGGACAGAAAATTAATTAAATCAACAAAAAAACCTAACGATGACTATTATGATAACAATTATTATTTGTGTGCAGACGGGACTTGGTGCAAACCAGACATGCCTATTTTACGCGAACGAGTCGAGTACACAAAAAGAGGGTTGTTGTTGTTGTTGTTTTTTTATACCATAACATAAGGTCACAGTGTAAATATAAATAACTTTAGCACAAACGATAGTGCAATACGGTAGCTGTAATTCTCGTGTTTGTGCTCGGCAAACAAGTAATTCCGGTGCCTTCCCCTCTCTGTCCCCGTGCTCTCCACCTCACCCCTCTGTCGCTGCCGTATTAGTATGGATAATCGACTGGAAAGCCGAAAAGTCTTCAAAAGAATTTGTTTCGAGGCGAACCACGTGCCACTTTCACTCCAACCAAATGGCTTGGGACGATAACAAAATAAATCCAGCTTTATCAAAAAATTACATTTTCGCGGAAAAATGCTTTTTGAAAAATTCATCTACGTTTTGGCGCAACAAACGTCGAAATCGGACTATTACTTACAAAGATATTAGATATGTAAACATATTTTTTTTTTATCGTCTTAAACATTTTTTTTGGTACGTGGATAATTATTATCCGATTATTATGCCAAGCTGAAAATGAAAAAAAAAACATGTTTAACACTATGATTTTGATTTGCTGCCAAAACATGATTTTAAAATATTGTAGCAATGAAAAACAATTTCTTTTTTAGAATACAGTTTTGCTGTGCGGTTTTTGTACGCGCTTCCAATAGACGATATTTTTTTTTAGCTTAGACGAGGAGATTGTGATTGTATCTTAATAACTCCTTGACCTATTTTCTTTACACTACCAACATCATTAAACGGTGTGGTATGTATGGCGCCACGACGGATTAAAAAAGTTCACCCCTCGCCTATTCGTGTGCTTACACGCACAACTAAAACCGACTTGGTGTAAAGCGCATTGCACTAATCCGTTTTGGCAATTCGGTTTATATGCAAGAATTAAAAATTTAGAATCCCAATTAAACAAATACCAACAGTGTTTTCATGCATGAACAATTTTATCATGACAACATAAATCCAAGTCGGTTTCTACTTCACATTAACCGCTTGTGTGCATTTTTGACTAGCAGTTATTTCCTTAATCCGAATTTCAAATGCGGAGTTACTAATTTGGCTTAAGCCAACCCGTTTTCTACCACTCCGACTTGACAGCCGTTTATTATATTACCCGAACGCTAGAAGTTAGCTAATGTGGAAAAGGTTAAATCAATTTTAATCTCGCATGTAAATCGTGTATACCATAATATCGTTCTCTATCGACATATTTTTAAACTTTGTTATCCAAAAAATCCGGTTTGTGTTATATTAAGCGTGTTTTGTTAATTTGAAAACATGTCTTAAATGTAAAAAATAAATTCTCTTAGATCACATTTCAATGGTTACAAAATATTAACCTTTAGATGTTACCTTCTATTTTATATACAAACGCATCACCATTTTTACTACTGCCGAAAATTTCCAAAAAATATAATAAGTATACACTTGAATAGCTTAGCTAACGAAACCACGAACATTTTTATAATGATAAATGCTTAAGTAATAAATAATTTTCCGAAAATTCCCTAATATTAAATTCTTAAAATAAGAAATAAGTAGTTATGTGTCACCAGCTTGGCTCAACATTTAACTGTAGTTTGGCTTAAGCGTTTCGTACTTTTAAACTATATATAGCATTTAAGCTGGACAGTGAACAGGCTGATAAAAACAAACATGAGTTATTTTATTGATTTCATGTACCGCGAAAGGAGATTTGTTCATAAAATGGTTTTTTATGTTTCTAAATTTTCTGTAAATATAATTCCATTATGACGTTCAGTCTCACCTACATAACATTTGTCGAATTCCTCGAATTTTATTATTTTATAAATCCCGGATTTTTCATTTCCTATACATTACTTTTGGTGCTAGCAAAAAAAAGATTGTAACAAATCTGGACAAAGTTACATTTTTAAATAGTTAATGGTAAATTAATTTAAAAAAAAAATTAAGTTTAATTTTTTGAAAGTTAAATTGTTAAAATGATAAAACAATTTTTCCAAATAACTTTATATATGACCTGTTTTTCTTTAAAATGTTTTTAATTTGTAACTGCGATAACATAATGTATATTTTTACATTTTCTTTAAGAGTCAAAATGGATAATAACCAATAATGTCCTGGCAGAAAATAATCATTTATGGAGTGTGAAATACTTTAACAGTTTTTTTAAGATGCGGACGTATAAACCTGCATACTTTTAATTTTAATGAAAATGCGTCTCCAGTGTAAAATCAATGTTTTTGACATGCAAGGTACATTTAATCGAAATCTAAGATAGGTATTTACTTTTTTCACGTGCTCCTGTATTTTTAGAGAGGCCCCTTTAGAACTTAAATAATAAATTTCCTACCAAAAATGTATTAGCTTTTCTTGAATTAAACACCAAAACATGAGTTTTTTTCCTTTCCATTCGGTTAGCAGAGATAAAATATAGTTCTAAAAGAAAATGAAAAAGGTAAAGTAAAAGAAAATGTTTCTCAAAAACCCTCTAAAACGCGTGGAAAACGACCTCGGTGCCCAGGCCTTTTAATAAGAACCTATAGTAGAGTACATGTGTATTGAATATATAAAATATGTCGACAACTATAATATATTATAATTATGTTCATAGTTATGCATGAATTACAAATATTCTAAGGGAAGCTATTATAATATAAATTAAATTAAATACAAGACGCTATAATATAATATTTTAGTGGCGACCTTACCGACCCCACTCGAGACGACGGCGAA